AGGTTATTTTTTTAAGAGCATCAGATCAGACGGTAAACACTAATGAAAAATATATGCACTCCAGTCTACATGAAAAGTAAATAAAATTATATGCTTACATGCCAATGAAAACTCTTATCCTATTTAAAAAAACAGTCAGTCACCATGTTATCTTCTATCAGGATATTCTGATGGCTTTGTTAAAGACTTCCTTCCAGCTCCAAATTGCCCAGAAATCAAATGTAGCTTTGAACTCAATATTTAAGCAGTCAAAAATACTGACAGTTAAAACTGAACACAGCTCTGAACTAATATGGGTATACAACCACTGACATTCAAGACCTGTATTGCCATTTCTAGTCAAGGATGAAGAGATTATAGTGGATGCCATCACTATAATGCCATTGCTTCCTCCACCCCCAACAGAGATATACGCAGCTACATAAACAGTGGATCGTAAAAGTGCCCCAAGGACAGCACACATGTTAAGAAATAAAATAAACTGAAAGAAAAACTTGACATAAACTTCAATAAGATGTGTAAAATTGAAGCAAGGATATTTTCTGAGGTTTTGAAGGTAAACATTTAAAATATTTATCTAGAGCAGAACAGCACAGATGATGAGCATGGAGATATTCCCATAATTTCTAATACAATAGGTTTAATCTTTTAAATCAGAGCTAGAAGCCAACAAAAGTCAGTTTCAAATACTCAGAACAACCATTAATGTCAAAACATCCCTCTGGCAAGGAACAAATATAAAACTAACTTACATTTCATAAGTCCATAGAAATATGTTAAACACTCGTATATCCTGAATAATTCAGCCATCATGCTATCTCGTTTTACCAATCCTTTATGCCAAAAAAAAGATGACAAAATGTAAAAATGCAAGATAGAAATGAGATCTCATGTTACACTACTTTTGATACTTGATGAACTCTATGAACATTCATGTTAATCAGTTCTACAGATTTAAAATTTCAATGTCTTGGGCAAAATTAAAGAAGTAATTTGTATTTTGAAAGAATTCACAAGGTAATTACGTCAGCTATCTCAGAAAAACCCAAAAACCCAACCCAATCAAAAAAACAATAGCAAAGCTCAAATAAAGTAAAAAGGTGAGATAAATTACTCTCATTAAAATGCAATGCAGGTTAAAGAATTCACCAAACTAAGTATTTATGGCTAAGAAGCTCTTGCAACACATCCTTTTTAAGCAAGATGCATATTGTCTTTAATTTTTCTACTTTACGAAGTTCTGCTACAGAAGACAGTGATATATTTCAGTGGATTTCATAGAGACAGTTAGAGTATATCAGAGTATTTGCTTAAGTGAGGATTTGGGAACCTTTCCAAATTTTTCTTCCTCTCAGCTTTAACTAGCTCAAGGACAGGTATTTTGGATTATATGTTCAATGATTTACTTCCCACAGCCTAACAAACGACTGATGAATCTTAAATTAAACAGAAAATATCACGCCAGCCATAGTACCTCTGCTACTGTACAGACCGAGACGGAGGTGGACATCATTTAAGTGTCCAATCCTATTCTCACTGAAGTCAGTGGAAGAACTGTAACAGATTTTGAGAGACAGAATGTGGTTCTAAAAACTTCAAACAACAGTCATCTGTCACACTAGGAAATATATAACAGCAGACTATTTAAGCGTGCTGTCATTCCCCTGAAAACCCCCTGCTGCAGCTCATGAGAAAATGGAGCCTGCTCTGAGAATGACCTATCTGGAATTTAAGCCAGAGACACCACAATATTTATCTTTCCACTACAAACAGAGGACAACATGTGGCTCAGTGTGACAAGGCATTATTTCAGTGCTGATAGGGAGAGGGGAAGAGAAAGGCAACAAAACACTTTCTTCTGTGAAATCATCAGCAGCAGGATGCTCTCTTTCAGAAGAGGCCACTGTTCTCTAACCCTTGGAAGGGGAGAGAGGCCGCCCGCCATTAACCTGGATTTCTGCAGGAAACGGGAGCCAGAACGCACCCCTGGTGCAGACAAGAAGGAATCTGACGGACCTGCCCATCTTCCCATTCCTTCTACATGAAGGAATCTTGACTGTCTCTCCTATTCTGTCCCTCCTCTGGCACCACTCCTATGCCATCCCCAAATCACTCTGGGACTACAGTTGCCCGCAAACAGTGCCTTGCAAAAGGTTCCATCCCTTCCCAAGAGCCATAAGGCAGGCAGAGTCTGAGCAAAAGCCCTCACATGAGCAGTGTAGAGGGATGCCAATAGTCCGTGCTGTGGCTAATATTACATTGCCACATGATTAGTTCACCTTCACCTGAATTTACACTGCAGTTAAAGGCATTTCTGTTTACAGAAGAATATCGGTGGGGGAAAAGTCAGTGAATGCATAAGACTGTGTATCCACTAAAATAGCAGAAGGTGTAGGTATGGAAATTGAAGGAGAATCCCCAAGGTGTCTTACTATCCTGCTTTAGAACATGTGAGGTAGCAAAACCAAGCCTGCCAAGAGCACTGTCAGCCTTTTGAGTACAGTAAGAAAAGCAGTTAAACAACTAACCAGGGCCTTACAGCTATTAGTAGGATTTGTCCTTCCAGCTGCATCTGGAAAGCTAAATTTCTTTCATTAACAAGATTTCCTATAATATTTCTGCTTCTATTAATTTTAAGTCTCTATTAATTTTAAGTCTCTCTGGTCCATCCATAGCTATACCATCCAAAAACTTCTTTACCAATGTACCTCTAAATGACATATTGGCCTATAGGAGTCTTTACAGTTAAAAACATGAATCAGAAGATTCTAAGTAAACAAATTCCATCTCTAAAATTCCATTGGGAAAGCAGCACTGTTGATATCATTGTAAATGATTCAGTTAGAAACCATACGCTACTGAACAGCTTAGTGAGAAGTTACTTGTGTAAAAATCTATAATGTTACTGCTTAACACTAGTATAAACTTTACTAGCTCTTACAGCTTCATCACATTTATTACCCATGTAATTAGCATAGGTTAATAGAATAAATTTAGTATAAGCACAATGGAAATCTGATAATCAACATGTGGAACTGCTGGAGGTTCAGAAAAACGGTTAGTAATTTTGGTGACTGTCTACATTGAGATATCCCTACTGGTTTTAAATACACTATTGACTAAGAAGTGCATATGGACAGTCTACTAAATAGCAAAACCTAAAGAACAATACAGATCTGCTACATCTGCTGAGTAAAAACACAGAATTACTGTTTAAGCATGTTTAATATACAAAAATGAACCCACTTAGGTATAAGAATCTCATTTATGTATAAGAAACCTTTATTTAAAAGATATACTTGGAAATATCACGTAAATACATAAATATTAAGCTTTTCAGTATCATAGAGGACTACTGTAATATAGCAGAATTTGCTCAAAATCAGAATTAAATAATCAGACCTGCATATTACGGGTAAAGATCCCATTGACAGGTGTCTGTGGACTAGTAATGAGAAATGGTTCCTTCCAGCACAACAACAGTTTGAGAAAGTAACCACACACCTTGTCTTCAAAAGAAATTTCTAAAAAATATCGCAGAATCATAACTCACAGGCGAGCTCACAGTGAAGTTTTGGCACAACTTGGACACATATGGTTGGTTAACTGGATTAATGAAGAGCTTTTACATCTTCTTTAGCACATTGACGAAATTAATCAAGTACCAAATGCAGTGCTAGTTAGCATGGTAAAAACACCTTCAGGAGTAAAAATGCCTCAGCAACAGAAAATATTCAAAATGAGAGAAATTAGCTACAATGAAACATTTAAACAGCTCACTCTTTCAGTTTATCAGAAAGAGCTTATAAACAATAAATATTTTCAGGTGGAAGAAAATGCCAGGTACCAACCAATACTAAAAAGGATAACATGTTACGATGAGACAGAAGAGTTGAAAGGATGGAAACATTACCCAAACTCAACTAAAAAATGGTTGAAGATGAACAATCAAATAAAACGTGCAAGGACACCACCTTTTAAGACTGGTTACCAGTGAAAGTGATAGAACTCATTTTTTTAATATTTTCTTATCAGATTTGGACACCATTCTTGAAAACACACTTCATTGAAACAACCTATTGGACTCATTAAATAAATATCAAGCAAATTTTAACCCCCTATTAGAGATCTTACCAGATGGCCTAAGTGTATCTTCTGGCATTAAAATCTATGAAACTAAACATTGCTACATAATGGGCAAATGTAAACACAATTATATTTAAAGATGTTACATCTCTTTAAGATATTATAAATTATGAGTTATTCCCATATTTACTAAACTAACTCAGTTGAAATTTCTTATGGAATTTGCAATAATCTTAATTTTTTAATTTACTTTTTTTTTGTTAACTTCAACAACAAAACTACTAGATAAGAGTACATTGTTTAAATACATCACTAAAAACTGCATCCAGAAGCTACTGGAACGTCAAGAAACAGAATTAAGAATGGGTAAACAGTTTTTCTCTGACATCGGTTCTTTCACTTGACAGTTGGGTAGGAAATTCTTAAGCAAAAATAATTTCATCAACTAGAGGTCAGTAACATAAGGATTTTTGTCTGGACAAACAATAAATCAGAAGACACAACAGAAGGATGAACGCTGAAAACTGGAGACTGGAAGTGAGTATTGGATTGAGTAGTTAAGCAGACAGGCAGTAAGAAGCCTGGAAATGAGAATCGATGGAGGGCATTGATTACGCACAATTCAATGCTTTGTTTCTCTGAAGGACAGAAGGGAGTATTGACATTCACCCATGCCTGGAGTGAGTGTTCATTTTAGTACTATAAATTATAACATCAAGTACTTGGCTTTGAAGGGCAGGAAGACTGAAGACATTAAATGTTTCTAAGTGGTAATGATCACTGAAGGCTTTTTCTTTTATCATGATGGTTCTCAGATGACATTAAAACAAAAGGTTCAAGAAAAAATAGACACAAACGTACTGGCATATCCAAAATACACTATCAGAGTTACGAAGGTTTAAAAAAGTACTTACTTGGTATGTGTCCCATAACCGGATAGTACACCGTAAAGGGACTTCTCTCATCAGCAAGTTATTCATCCAACGGAAAGCAAATTGCAAGTATTTCACCTCATGCTGATCCAAGTGCCTATGAACTTGTTCTGAAGACAGAATAAACAGACATTTTATTACAATTTTCCTGAAGTCTCTAGGTATCAAATGTGCTGTCTGAAAAAATAAAATAATTCTCCAATTTCAAGCAAATAAAATGTGGTGGTGCATGCAAACTCTTACAAACCCCCCAAATAGAAATGACTAGTTAAACATTACATTGGATTTATTTTTACGTCTCTAGATAGCTTAAACAACTGCTCTCAGTTGTGCTATCTTAAGAAAAGATTAAGGTCAAAGCTTTGTAATATACCGCAAAAAATACACAAAGTTATAAAGTGAAACTGTTAGGTGCATATATCCTTACTAATTTCTTAGGCTACAAATTAATAGGGGCAAGACTACAAGAAACGCAGTTTGCAAATAACATAATGGCTTCCAAAAATTAAGTGTTAGTAATAAAAAGAAGACAACATAAAATTAACAAGGCAAAGAAGACAACATAAAATTAACAAGGCAAAGAAATTTAAGGAAAGTATATGTAAAGGCTACATTCACCTGAGACAAAAACCAGTGAGATTAATGTGCAGAAAATACTGTGAACAAATATAAATAATTTGTAGCTTAAATATTTCTTAGTATAACAAATAAATACAAATAAAAACCAATACAAATCAATGGTTTCTAAAGGAGTACTCACACACATTGTGTTTACTGTAGCTCATTTACTGTTTGAAAGCTGTGATAATCACTTGCATTCTGTTAGCAGGTTTTAGATAACCCCTCAAGTATGGGATTGGCATGGTGTAAATGACAACTACTGCAGAAATGCTAATATCTTATTTTGGATAAATGTATGATAAGGAGTCTTTGTTAAAAACTAAAGACTCTACACTAAAACTCTAGTCTAAAACTAAAGACAGATTACTGTCTGTCCTTACACGAATACATACTTGGGAGATTCTGCTACCCAGATCATCCTCACTATAAGAAGGATGTTGAGATTCTGGAGCGTGTTCAGAGAAGAGCCACAAGGATGGTGAGGGGTCTGGAGAACAAGCCTTATGAGGAGTGGCTGAGGGAACTGGGCTTGTTTAGCCTGGAGAAGAGAAGGCTTGAGGGGAGACCTCATCACCACCTACAACTACCTCAAGGGAGGCTGTAGAGAGGTGGGTGCTGGTCTCTTCTCCCAGGTGATGGAGGATAGAACAAGGGGAAACGGCACCAAGCTGTGCCAAGGGAGGTTCAGGTTTAGAGATAAGGAGGAAGTTCTTTACTGAGAGGGTTGTCAGAGGCTGGAACAGGCTGCCCAGGGAGGTGGTGCAGTCACCATCCCTGGATGTATTTAAAGAGTGGGTAGATGAGGTACTTAAGGATATGGTTTAGTGGGTAGACAGGAACAGTTGGACATGATGATCTCAGAGGTCTTTTCCAACCGAGCGATTCTGTGATCCTTCCTCCACATTCACAGAAGTGTATTATCAGCTGAGATAACAAATACATGCTGATCTCCCATATTTCACATTTTTCAGAAAAATCTAAATCAGCACTGCTATAGTAAATGAACAAAACAATAATCCCAAGAGTATGGTAGCACTGTAACAGGAAACATTACCTAAAGATTAAAGAAGCAGAAATTAAATTATGCTAAATTATAATATAGGCTAAAGTTATCAAAATATTTCTTTTTCTCAAGATACATTTTGTGGCTAGATGAAAGCATCAGCCAATATGACAAAGTTGTTTCAATACAAAAGCCAGAAGCTGAAATTTTTTAGTTTGTAAAAACAATCAGCAGCAACATTTTTTAAAAGCCCACTTATCACAGCATCCCATGTCCAATGTTGTCTAAAAACAAATACCCATGGAAATGTATAAAGAATGGGTATTTCTCTATGGCACTTCTCGGGCTGTATCTGCAGCTAAAGCACTCTTTGGCAGCCCTAGTATCTATGTTCCTACAGTCATATCCTTCTGTAAAATATAGACAAATATATAAAACTGCACGTCTTAAAACTATCTCTTACTTCTCTTGGGAACTTTTTAAAGTCATAGATGTATATAAATGTGTTAATGTTTAAAGGATTCATTTCATTTCTATGTATAATACTAACTAGGTAGTTAGATACTTCTGCTATATAATAGACTGAACTGCTACCATGGGATGTGAAAAGGTAGAGAATGTGGTGGCTTTTTATGAAAATAATGGAATTCTGCACATTGGAGACCTTTCTCCTTTGGTAAAATGTTGATGAAGGAAGTCCCCAGGTTGAAAACCTCTGGAAGAAGGCAGATGTGGCAATCACGCATGTTCTGCAATCTTAGTGAAAGAGGCTTAAAAATGAAAAAAAGGCAGTTTATACATATTGGTCCACATCTTGAAGACAGCATAAGCTTCAGAAGCCTCTGTATTTTCATTTTCCACACAGAGGCCTTGCATGCCTCTTAACTTCTGAACAGTTAGCATAGCGTAGCGTAGCGTAGCGTAGCGTAGCATAGCATAGCATAGCATAGCATAGCAAGGGAACCTCCAACTGCCTGACCAATTCAGGGCTGACCAAAAGCTAAAGGATCTCAGTAAGGGCATTGTCCAAATGTCTCTTAAACACTGACAGGCTTAAGGCATCGAACACCTCCCTAAGAAGCCTGTTCCTGTGTTTGACCACCCCCTCAGTCAAGAAAAGTTTCCTAATGTCAAGTCTGTATCTCTTCTGGCACAGCTTTGAACCTTTTCCATGTCCTGTCACTGGATACCAGGAAGAAAAAATCTGCACCTCCCTCTCCACTTCTCCTCCTCAGGAAGCTGCAGAGAGCAATGAGGTTGCCTCTCAGCTTCCTTTTCTCCAAACTAGACAAACTCAGGGTCCTTAGCTGTTCCTCAAAGGACACTCCTTCTAGCTCTTTCACCAGCTTTGTTGCCCTCCTCTGGAGACATTCAAGGACCTTCACATCCTTCTTAAATTGCTGGGCCAAGAACTGCTCACAGTATTCAAGGTGAGGCCACATCAACATTGAGTACAGCAGGATAATCACCTTTTCTGACTGGATGCAGTTTGGCCTCTCAGCTGCCAGAGCACACTGCTGACTCCTAGTGAGCCTGCTGGCAACCAGTGACCCCAGATTCCTTTCTGCAGGACTGATCTCCAGCCACTCCTCTCTATTTATATTTGTGCCTGGCTTTACTTCTTTACAGGTGCAGAATCTGTCATTTCTTCTCGTTAAAATTTTAAATGTTAAATCCATCATCGATGATTGCCCAATGCTCCAATTTATCTAGATCCCTTTGCAAGGTGTCTTGTCCCTCAAGAGACTCAACAGCACCTCCCAGTTTGGTATCATCATCAAATTTGCTAATGGTCCATTCAACTCCTTCATCCAGATCACTGATAAAAATGTTGAAAAGAACTGGCCCTAGATTGAACCTTGAAGGACACCGCTTGTGACAAGTCACCAGCCAGGTGCAGCCCCATTCACCTCAACCCTCTGAGCTTTGCCCTTCAGCCAGTCCTCCACCCAGTGCACTGTTATGTTAGATATTCACAATTACTACTGTGTATCTGCCTTTAGGTAAATTTAGCTGCCACTTAAATATACTGAAGTGAGATACTATGTTAAATTTATCTTTTAAATGACATATTTAGGTACCTATATTGCAGACTACTATAAACAGATAATCCACTACATCAAGCAGAATGCAAAAGTCAGTTTTATTTCTAACTGAAGTTACTAACTCGCAACCATTTTTGTTCTTTGCACAGCAGAAACAAATTTCATGTGGTTGCTTGCAGCCATTTAAAGTAAGTAATGAAGAACAATAAATTGCACCAGTTGGGATATTTCAACTACAGTTGTTAATAGGCATGATGAATTTCTTGCAAGTTGCTTTCTAGTATAAACAAGTTGAAAAATAGACTACTAAACTCTATGCATTAAATACAATTGCTGCAAGACTGGAATAGAAGATGCATTGACTGAAAAAGCTAATTCTTTCTACTTCATAAGTAATCGTGAGTAGGGGCTATTTCACCAATAAAGGTAATTTGGACAGTCATAACCTAAATTTAAATTTTCCATTTCAATGAAAGTAAGTACGTGTGTGCAATGAACAAGCAAGATATATAATTACTGTCAGCTTTCAGACTTGAAGTATTTTATAAAAAATACTTCTATTGCAGTTTCTGATAGTAAAATTATTTTACAGTTTTTTAGAAAAGATAGTTCTTTTATCAAAATTTGAAAGAAAGAAGAATTAAATTTAATAACTCTCCCAATACTTTCAGTAAATCTATATATAAAGTTTTGGTTGAGCAAGTCTTCTGATTAGAGAATAACGCATTCCAAAGTAGCATACTGCCAGAATTACAGGTTCTGTACATAAAAAGCACGCGCAACTATTTATAATTTTAACAAGTACACTTATTGGATATATTACTTTGAATGATCACACTGAGCCACCTTAAACAGATGCTTCTTATGGCAGAAGTACCTATACACATAAAATATTTATTGTTAATGTTTAATGTCAGCTTCTCATGCTGCTTTATTGATTTCAGAATTAAAGTTATACATGACCACAGAATCACAAACTAAAGGCTCAGGTAAGGACAGAAATAACCTGTACTAATGCATGACTTAACTGCAGCCCTGACTGGGGGCACTGTCAGAATGAGTGCCTAGGAACTGCCAAATTACAGTGGCACAGCACAGTGCCATCACATCCATCTGTATAGTTTATTACTCCAGAATATCAGATTTTTTGTTTTGACATATATTTAAAGATTCCTATCAGTCCTAGCAATCTTTTCTGACATATGACTTTAGACTTAGCTTTGACACTTTTGAAAATTATTTAAAGTTTATTTTTACTCATATTTCATACCTTGTGCACTTCATTCGTAACTCCATTTTATCAATGACTTATATACATTTCATGGTAAATATAAAAAGCACTAATTGTTAAGAATTATATGAAATGCAGTTAAGCTAAGAATCTCTGATAAATAATCCTTTTAGTTCAATAAAAGTAAGAGAAGTGTGCATTTCTCACGAA